ATATCAGATACAGCAGTGTTTTCTTTACCCCTCACTCCAGGAAGTGTATATGCATCATGATATTTGACAGAGAGTTCCATATGCTTTAAATCAAATCGATAAAATGATAAGTTACAGCGAAGTGTTTTCTTTAACTTTATTTCAGAAAGTGTTTACAGAGGGAGGGGGGGGGGCAAGATCTTTTCTGTTAAGGTGTATTAGGCATTTTATAACTTTTGTAAACTGTCATTTTGAAAATATATGTGCTGTTAACTATTATTGACTAATTAGCTGGTATCTGTTTTCTTTAAATTGACACTGTGTTTGACTGTTAAGTTGTTTTATGCATTTTTAAATTTTTGTTAACTGTTATTTTGAAAATTTATGTGCTGTTAACTGTTATTGACTAAATAGCTGTTATCTGATTTATAAAATTGACATTGTTGTTAACTGTTAAAGTGTTTTAGGCATCTTTAAACTTTTGTTATCTGTTATTTTGAAAATATATGTGCTGTTAACTGTTATTTACTAACTTCCTGTTACCTGTTTTGAGCAAAATTAAAAATTGTTCACCTGTTAATGGACCCCCTCCCCCCTCCTTTCAAAGGCATCATTTGACAAAGAGTATCATTCATTTAGAATCAAATCGGAAAGTCCTGTCACATCGTCATTGTGAATCAATCATATTTCTTAAATCAATGATTCCATTTTTATCATACTTTTGTTTGATTATAAATACAATCATTATCATTAATTGTACATGTATCAATGTATGCTGGTGGTTCAAAGAAACCGATTGATATATGGTTGGGATCACACAAAATAGACGATAGTAGCTCATACGTTCATTGTTAATAGATAATTAATTGAAAATCGTACATTGAATCGACAGTTACAGGCTTCAAGACTTGCTTCTTGTTACTGAGGGTAAGGATGGGGATTTACAGAATAGAGACTAATGGGCAAAAAATATAAAGCAGAGAAAAATGGAACAAAAAAATAAAGAATAGAGAATAACGAGGTTCTAAAATGTAAAGAATAGAGAATAATGGCCAAAAAGTATAAAGAATAAAAAAATTCAAGAATCATTACTAGTAACTTAACTTGATGCGTTTGCAGAAAGGCTAGTTATCAATGGTAGTTGTACCACTAATTCTATTTCCAGTGGCGGATCCAAAAGGGGGGAGGGTCCGGGGTTGGAACACCCCTTTTTTGACGATCAATGCATTTGAATGGGGCCATATATTTGGAACACCCCCTTTTCTCCTGGGTTGGAACATCCCTTTTAAAAATGGCTGGATCCGCCCCTGATTTCAGTCAGACTAACAGACTGTAGTGAACATCTTTTATAACGTCTTTACGATTTAAATGACTGAAAAAAGATTGTTAAAAAACGCGAATAGAAAATCTTTACTGAAAAAAAGCTAGCTACATCAAGAGACAAATGTTTTTTTTTATGTCTCTGTTACATCTTTTTTTATCTCCATATGTTGTAATGAGTGTCTCCAAGAATATTTTTAGATTTCTAACTCTTTTGATATATTCATATAATTACCTGAATTTTATAGTTAGTCGTTATTTTTTTTTTAAAATTTGGTAGCAAGGTAGACGTCATGTGTATACAAGTATTAATGTTTTGCCATAACGATAATTGGTAGCTGAACGTACATTAAAACAGTTATTAGCAATAAGAAGCATACATTTAAGCAATGGAGTTGATGCTGTGGTGAATTTATAGTTCGAGCATAGTAACTAAAGGCGGATACAGGAATTTTGAAAAGAGGGGAGTTCTTCCATAAAACTGAATATATACCATGTAAAGTGCCGAGCGAAGCGAGTCCAAACATTTTTTGGACGATTTTATGCAAAAAAAAATGAAGTTTTTACTTATCAAAAAGAGGGGGGGGGGCATACGTCCTTTGTCGCCCCCTGAATTCGCCACTGGTAACGTCATAATGTCATGCATGTCTTTGTATAGTGCGTAATGCTGTTGGTGGTTTTTTGTCATGCATTTTTGTTGTAAGTTGCGCATGGCGGTTGGTTAGCAAGATGATGCAATTAGCCGTTATGTATGTAATGTTATGCAATTCGTCATAAGATATATTTTGTGGTTGGTCATAAGATCAAGTATTCTACCGCAAGGAAAGTAATTTGATTGGTCTTTTAAGTCATACAATTTTTCCTAAGGTACATACTGAAGGTGGTCGTTAGGTCATGCCATGCGTCATAAGTTAGGTAAAGCAGTTGGTAATAAGGATATGCATTCCGTCGTAAGGAAAGTGATACGATTGGTCGTAAGGTCATGTATTTCGTCATAGGTATATATTGTGGTTGGTCTTTTAGTCATGTAATCCGTCGTAAGGAAAGTCATTCGATTGATCTTAAGGTCATACATTTTAGCTCACCTAAGTGAGCTTTTCTCATCACTTAGCGTCCGTCGTCCGTTAACTTTTACAAAAATCTTCTCCTCTAAAACTACTGGGCCAAATTTAACCAAATTTGGCCACAATCATCATTGGGGTATCTAGTTTAAAAATATGTCAGACAACCCCGCCTGCCAACCAACATGACCGCCATGGCTAAAAATAGAACATAGGGGTGAAGTTTTTGGCTTATATCTCTGAAACTTAAGAATTTAGAGTAAATCTGACATGGGGGTAAAAATGTTTATCAGGTTCAGATCTACCTGCCCTGAAATTTTCAGACGATTCGGACAACTCGTTGTTGGGTTGCTTCCCCATAAATAGTAATTTTAAGGAAATTTTTCAGTTTTTGGTTATTATCTTGAATATTATTATAGATAGAGATAAACTGTAAGCAGCAATAATGTTCAGTAAAGTAAGATCTACAAATAAATTAACATGACATAAATTGTCAATTGACCCCTTAAGGAGTAATTGCCCTTTTCAACAATTTTTCTTAAATTTTTGTTATCTTATACAAAAATCTTCTCCTCTGAAACTACTGAGACAAATTTAACCAAACTTGGCCATAATCATCATTAGGGTATCTAGTTTTAAAAATGTGTCCGATGACCCTGCCTACGAACCAACATGGAAGACATTGCTAAAAATAGAACATAGGAGTAAAATGCAAGTTTTGTCTATTATTTTTTGAACCGTCATAAATAGAGAAAATCTGAAAGGAGCAAAAATGTTCAAAATAATGAGCTCTACCAATTGTCCATATAAGTCAAAACTGTTAGACAAATTGTATAGGAGTTATTGCCCATAAATGACAAATTTTACCATTTTTTTCCATTTTTGCCTATTATCATGAAAACTATGATATTTAGAGAGAAACATTTTTTTTCCGTTATGCCTTATATGATTTAAATTATAATAGATCAATAGACACTTTAAATCACAAAACTGATCAGCAAGGCAAGATCCATTAAAAAGTCAAATTTTGCCGATATAGTTAGTAGACTGTCACTCTTCATAGGAGTGATTACCCTTAAATGAGGATTTTTTTTACCCTCTTTTTTGTTTTGAGCAAAAACTAAAGAAGATAGAGAGAAACTAAAAGACTAGAAGATCAGTAATACAAGATCAACAAAATAGAGATTGTTTTCATGAAGTCGATTCTCGTCTACAATGTTGGAGAGTGTCCTTTGTTTGATATGCACATAAACCAAGGTGAGCGACACAGGCTCTTTAGAGCCTCTAGTTTCATTAGTGACATAATGTGGCTGGTCGTAAGTTCATGCATTTCGTCATACGTTATGTAATGATGATGGTAATACGGTCATGTATTCCGTCGTAAAGTAAGAAATATGGTCATTATGTCAAGTAATTCGTCGTAAGGTGTGTATTTTGGTTGATCTTTTGGTCATGCATCCCGTCGTTAAGTTAGTAATATGATTGGCCATAAGATCGCAGTTTTTGTCGTAGGGTACGTAATGTGTTTGGTCGGGAGATTAGTATGTATTGGTTGGTCGTAAGGTCATGCAAGTCGTCGTAAGGCGCGAATGTGGTTGGTCATAAGATCATGTATTCCATCGTAAGGTCATACAATTTGTCGTAAGGTAAGTAATACAATTAGTCGTACCGTCATACGATTTGTCGTAATGTGGTTGGTTGGTCGTGAGGTCATGCAATTGTCGTTAAAAAAGTGTCAATAACATATAGATCAAGTCAATGTTGTATTTATTTTTTTCCTAATTTCTAATGGATGGGAACTAATTTTTCACATGACATCTGATACAAATTATTATTTTAAAGAGCATGCACCCCTTTTACACACAGTTAAACCCACATTCACAAGTAATGCGATTTTAGATAGAAAATTAATTAATTGGGTTGAACAGTAAAGCAAACATAGGAAGGTGATATATTTGATCGTTAGGTAATGTTGTATTCAATGGTTTAGTGAATTTGAAGTTAGTCGCAAGGTAATGAAATTGGTTGAAATGCAAGTAAAGTGATTCAATAGTGTTAGTTGTAAGGTCATAAACATGTTATTGTTTGTGGTGTAAATCATTTTATTGTATAATGGAAATTTATTTCTCACTGTGTAAGGTTTTAAAAATAATCGTTCAGTACATTTAAAGTTGCTCGTAAGACAAAACACGTGGTCGCAAGGTAAAGCTATTTGTCAAGAAAAAGTTTGTCATACGGCCGTCAGCAAATGTAATTAGATAAAACAGTTCTCTGTTACGTAACAAAGTTGATACTGCGTATTGTAACAATGTTTGTTCAATAGTTTGACGAATCAGTGAGCAAAGGAAAAGACAAAATGTCAAAAGTCAAAATGAAATAAGAGTTCAACAGCATAACTAATTCAAAAGTTTCGCGTATTTTGAATTGTCATTAAAAGGAAGTTCGTTGCTCAATTTCAAATAATTATGAAAACATATAATCGTTTCTGAGAACAAGTAAACAAAATTAGTCATAAATAAATAAGAAAAAAAGACAATTAGCTCACCTATATTTGTTTTGTATTTTAAATCCAGTTACGGCTACAATAGCAATTTGTTATAGCAAAAATGATTATCGATTTTACAATTCAAAAGCACTCACCTTTTAAACAACATTAAGCATTTTTCTATCGAACCAAAAATCAACAATTTTAACACTGTAATATGAATCTCCAACAAGCTATATACATCCAGAATTAAACATCACATATGAAGATGCAGCATTTTGTGTTTGTATCAATACCACATAATTCACATTCTTTACTTTTACTGTAAAAAATCATACACAAACAAACATAATTAATATACTCCACGTGTACTATATATTTTGTAAAGAAAGCAGAAATACTGAATGAATTATGGCTCGGTATAATAATAACATTTTTCAACATCTGTTCAGGTATTGATCGTGAAGCATTGTTGTCTATGTGTTTTACCTGCTATCCTGATCATATGGTCAAATTGAAATGAATCACAACATTAATTAAAGGCGCTTATTATCACGTAATTATTTTAGCTACATACTTCATAATCGTGAAATATACCCAATAATAATTTGAAGTAAAAACGTCCAATTATCAACAATAAAGGATATATTTTGTAATTACTTTTACCTGTATTTTTTTCTTGTGTAGATCACTAACGTTTTGCTAAGTATATTTGTTTACTAGAAGAAGAAAAAAATTACGACTCGCCTTCCATAAACCATCAATTCATTCCTTTTGGCATCGCTTTGGAAAACCATGTAAACAGATATATTATCGTACATTTAGCAATGTGAAGTAACAATGCAAGAAAACCTCAGATTAGTTCCATAGTTCACAAGATTTCATCAGCAGATCAAGAAAAGAAGGTACACTATCAGCTATCGTAAACCTATATGTTATTTGGAACATCCTTTGGAACTTCTCGGGACAAAAATATAGTTGGAAAAGCACTTGCGTTGGATAATCTAAAATTATCACTTATTTACTGTTTGCAGCGTACTGAACAAATTTCTACGGCGTAAATCTCCCAATCGAAAATAGCAGGTGTGTGCACTGATTGATACTAAAGTCTTAGGGAACAAGATTTATTTATAAATTGATATTGTATATTTAAACACATTTTCAGTGAATGGGAGTACTCTATAATCGGTACTTTGTGTCTTTCGTCTTTATGTTAGTTGTTGTTTGTGCTTCGTGCCAATCTGACGAGTCAAGCCATTTCCGATTGATGTTTACTGTTTGTTCCTATGTTGTGTTAATACATCATTATCCAAGGTTATGAGGATGATTAAGCGCTCACCAAAATGTTAAAGCCCACCACACTTTATGTGTGCCGGCTCCAAGTCATGAACCTGAAATTCAGTGGTTGTCGTAGGCTGCTGTCTGTTATCTTTGTTTTTCGTTTGTTGTTTTGCCTCAAATCAGGCTATTGGTTTTTACTTTTGAATTATTTCACATTTTGTCAGGTACAAACAGAATGTGGCGTTTGTAGTGAGTTAACTCTCCTCTAACCTACGTTTGATAACCCTCCCACTAATATGGTACAATGTTGTTAAATAATCTCTAAATATAAGTTGAAAGGGACTTCAGTCATCAGATCGATACTACGCACCACAAAATACAACTTATAAAAACGTTAGACATAAAATACCAATCTGAGAGTACTTGCAGAAAACACCGATCTGAGAGTACTTGCAGAAAACACCGATCTGAGAGTACTTGCAGATACTGAAAGCTAGTTCAATGCCAATAACAAATAACCAAAAATTATGTACCCAAGTCAAAATATTAATCAGTACAAATCCAATGGATTTAGTATAGTTAAAGACGTCATAAACAGTCTGAGAAAAACCATGGCCTTATGAAATGCCATAATGTAAGTATCGACAGGATGCACGACTATAAAAAGTGTTAATAACTGTATAGCATAATATATTTACCGATAACAACAGTATTCAAAATTCTAATTGCAGTGTTAAAGTGGTAACCTTTTAGAATAAGTGTATTCCAAGGATCGACAAGTTTATTCGTACCAAAGTTTACGGGCTCTATGAAATAAACTCATTATAGATACCAGGCCATCGTTTCACAAAGAATCGTACGATTTACGTTTACGATTAAACTTACGTTAAGCGTAAGATTTTACCTACAAGTGTTTCACAAAGGTGATTGTAAACGTAACGTAAACTTACGATTACAATGAAAAATGGGTGCTTTCTTTCACAGCCGCGTTCATGTCTAAAAAAAGAATCGTTCTTTCAAAACCAGGAAGAAAATTCATATCATCGTAGTTTGAAATGGTTTGTTTGTATGGTAAATAGGTTTTGTGAGGTAAACATGGTAAGTATCCCGTCTAGTTTAAAGATGTTTTTTTGCTTTGGTTTTATTAAAAAAAAAATGGCTGGTGGTGGTTTTTTTCAAGCCGAGCGTCTGTTTTTGCTGTTGTTGAAGAATGATGAAGTCATAAAAAAACAGACAATTTCATTAGGACTTCGACATTTCTTGATTCCAAATCAATATGAATTTCTAAATGGTTAACACGAAATTATACGAATCTTCAAATGTTAATAATAAATGAACTGGTATAAAATTCGTTAAGCCTTGTGATTCTGATGCATGTCTAGGCTTTTTTAAAAGAGGAACCTACTGACAAGACAATATTAAGACTTGTACATGTAAAAAGTATCTGCATATTTTCATTTCATCTATTATAATACTATGCATTTGCTACTGTGTCATCCAAAAATATGGTCATCAGAAAAAAAAATAAGGCGTTTGGTAAAAAAATGTTTATTTATTTTTATTATTTCCTATATTGTTCTATAAAAGAAACATTGTTCCTAAGTAATTCTGTTAAAAAAATATACATTAAAAAGTAAACGTTTTTTGAAACAGTAACAACACATTATTTACTAAAAGGATCTATTATATGTTCCTCTCTTGAACTCTGAGTAAACACAATATGTAGGTTAGGCCTTATTGAAACCAACAATGACCATGGAGTCGATAATCTTTTATAACGGATAGTTAATTCAGCTTGAACATTTCAATTACTCATTTATTGTCAGCTATCTTACATATACATAATGTGTGATAGTAACCCCAAAATTTTGATTTATTAACCTAAAAAGTAAAAATTTGGAGGACATTAGAGGTATAAATGGACCAATAGGATTCTTATATGAAAACAAAGAGGAACATTAGTGGTTTTTATCATCTTAGAAACCTCTCTGTTTGGATTATTTTAAAACGGAAGCAGTTGAGATGGTGAAAAATTTTTACAATAAAAAATTCAATCTTCCATGCAAAAAATTAATGCGCTTCAAAAATCAGATGAAAATTAAAATCAAGCAGAATTAGACACTTATGAAGCTCTTTAAATGCAAGGCAAAGGAGATGAGGAAATTAAATCTTCAGATGAGTCTGATTTGTTGGACTCTATAGCTGTTAAGAGAAGGCTTACATAGGCTATGCCTGTTGCCCAATCCAATTAAATTTATTTGAATAAAATACTGTTTAAACTAAATAACTGTTAAGCTTTTAGGTCCTGAAGGTTATGTTAATGTGTGATCAGTCAGGGGCGGATCCAGCCATTTATAAAAAGTGTGTGGGGGTCCTAACCCAGGCTAAAGGGGGGGTTCCAACTATATGTCCTCATTCAAATGCATTGCTCGTCAGAAAAAAGGGGGGTTCCAACCCCCAGAACCCTCCCCTGGATCCAGCACTGTCAGTGAACTTGATTTTTTGAGTTACATATACAGAACATAAATTTGTTAAATGGTGGTAAAACATATTTTCATTTGTAATGCCCTTCTTTACTTAAAATATATTTTGAACCCCCTTGAAATATGTAAACTACTTATTTATGTGCCAAAAAAATGATCCCCCAACTTTAAATTTATAAAAAAATTGAACCCCTTTTCCACTTACAGAAAAACTTGATCCCCCCTACATTTTGACCAGCCCGCCTCCCAGGTAAAAAATGATAAGTCCCTAAATGTCTACGTATTTTTTATTAATTTTTTTTGCATCTGGGGGTTGTAGTTTTCTAAGAATTTTTATTCATTCGAGTCATGTTAATTGATTTTTTTAATTTGTGTATCTATAAAGGGCGAATCTTAACTCCCGCTGATGCACACCCGTTTGCCTTAATTACTTTACGATTGTGCTACGGCCGTAATTCAATGTAACTTTAAAAAGAGATATCAGGAATATAAAAGGGTCGTCGCGGTGTTTCCTTCTCATCTGTTTTATTTTATTATTTTCTATATTCTTTTTAAGTTTTGCACATTATTCTTAATTCTGTACATTATTCTCTGTCCTTATTATTTTGGCCTATTGTTCTCGATTCTTTATTTTCTCAATCCATTTTCTGTAATATTAGCCCCTTATATTCTCTATTCTATAAACTCCATTCAGACCCTCTATAACTTTTTTTAATTACAGAACCAGTCAGCAGTTTGTTGCTAATCATTAATGTGAAATAAATAAATCGATACATTAACAAGAAATGGTGCATGAATATGTGTCCATAGAACACCAATCCCCCATTCGCACTATACATATCCATGTTAAATTTGCATATTTTGTTAAACAGTTCTCTGCATCATGAGTTTCATTTTGATGTGATCTCAAAGGAACTCAAACCCAAAATTTAACCTCACACACGCTTTAATTGACATTTTATTGTAAAAAAACTGTCAATTGAAATCTTGGTCAATCCATAAGGACAAGTGGCGATAAGGGTCTTTTTTAGACCCTCCGCAATTTTCATTTAATTTTTCATGTTATAACCGTCGACAAATCGTGACACTCTTGTATTTATTTTATATAAAGTTGAGAATGGAAACGGTTTTCTGTTTGTAGCCAGATGTATAATGGGGGCGGGGGTGGTAAAGACGAATAGGACATGTACATAAATTTTGTATATACGCCAGACGCGCGTTTCGTCTACAAAAGACTCATCAGTGACGCTCGAATCCAAAAAAGCTTAAAAGGCCAAATAAAGTACGACGTTGAAGAGCATTGAGGACCATACTTCCCAAAAGTTTTGCCAAATACAGCTAAGGTAATCTATTCCTGAGGTAACATTCCTGGGGGTGAAAAATATCCCCGTAAACCTCAGAAAATAATATCCCGTTTGTAATATGATTTATACAGGTACAGCCAAACTCAATACTAAATATTTGCATCTATTAAAGAATTAAGTAACGGTTTTAAGATATGTGTGGCAACGAAATCCCTGACTCAATATGCATAGATTATTTTCATTGAAATCTATGATGTCAGTACACACACGGTCATAGCGAAGAAGATGCGAGCGAGTTGGGGTGTATTAACACTGTTAGATTGGGCCAAAGTCTCGCAGGTGTCTGGATTTTCTTATTTCATTCGGAGCAGAAGAAAGGTTTTGTATACATTATAAATCCATAGAACACCATGCCCCACTCGTTTCATCACATTTCGTTGTTCAATCAACCATGAAATCTGGGACAAAAACCTTATATTATATATATGAAACGGTTAACTTTAATGATGATCATATGTACTAAGTTTCAAGTTGACATAAATACAACTTCATTGTGAACAACCATAAGTAGGCGAGGCATAAACATGGTGTCACATACCGGAGAGACCATCTGAATAAAAAAATCTACTTACCAGGAGAAATTACCGTAGTTCAATTCTAATTAAAGCAGGGAGAGGCTTTGTAATATAATCAGATGCTTACATATAAGAAAATGTGGCGTGAGTGCCAATGAGACAACTCTCCATCCAAGTCACAATGTATAAAAAGTTAATAATAGGTCAAAGTACGGCCTTCAACACGGAGTTTTGGCTCACACCGATCAACAAGCTATAAAGGGCTCCAAAAAGGGCTTCAAAATGACTAGTGTAAAACAATTCAAACAAGAACCAGCAGTCTAATCTATATAAAAAACGATAAACGAGAAACACCTATGAACCACACCAAGAAACGACAACTACTGAACAACAGGCTCCTGACTTAGGATATGTGAATAAAAATGCAGCGGGTTTAAACGTTTA